CACCACATATGTAAGACCAATCCTGGAGTATGCGGCCCCAGCATGGAGCCCGTACCTAGTCAAGCACTAGACGAAGCTGGAAAAAGTCCAAAGGTATGCTACTAGACTAGTCCCAGAACTAAGAGGCATAAGTTAAGAGGAAAGGCTGCGTGAACTGCATCTCAATTCGCTGGAAGACAGAAGAGTATGGGAAGATATGAACACCACCTACAAAATTCTTAGAGGAATTGACAGGGTAGATAAGGCTAAACTGTTTAACACGGGTGGTACGCGAACAAGGGGACACAGGTGGAAACTGAGTACCCAAATGAGCCACAGGGACGTTAGAAAGAACTTTTTCAATGTCAGAGTAGTTAACAGGTGGAATGCATTAGGCAGTGATGTGGTGGAGGCTGACTCCATACACAGTTTCAAGTGTAGATATGATAGAGCCCAGTAGGCTCAGGAATCTGTACACCAGGCCCAGGAGGCCTGGTCGACGACCGGGCCGCGGGGACACTAAGCCCCGGAAGCACCTCAAGGTAGCCTCAAGGTAACCAGTTGATTGGCCAACACCACAAGGTGAGTACAGAGAGAGAGAGAGAGAGAGAGTAGAGAGAGAGAGAGGAGAGAGTTAGAGAGAGAGAGAGAGAGGAGAGAGAGAGAGAGAGAAGAGGAGAGAGAGAGAGAGGAGAGAGAGAGAGAGAGAGGAGACAGACAGAGAGGGGGGGGAATAAGGGAAGAAGAGCAGTGGTCAAGCGGTCAACGCATGCTATTCTCAGCTGTAAGTCCCGGGAAAGTGGAATTCTAGCCGGAGCGGTAACAACTTGGCAACGCTTCCTTTCACCTCATTCCACTATTCACTTAGCAGTAAAATGCAGGTACCTGGGGGTTGGACAGCTTCTGAGGGCTACACCCGGGGATGGTTAATATACACTATATATATATATATATATATATATATACCTTCTGAAGATGTATTTAATATACGAAAGTACTTAAGGAAATTTCCTGTTTCATTTTTCCTCCGTGGTCTGACATTGTCACATTCTTAATCACGTGTTTATTTTCGTTGATATACACACATATATAATATATATATATATATATATATATATATATATATATATATATATATATATATATATATATATATATATATATGTCGTACCTAGTAGCCAGAACGCACTTCTCAGCCTACTATGCAAGGCCCGATTTGCCTAATAAGCCAAGTTTTCATGAATTAATTGTTTTTCGACTAACTAACCTACCTAACCTAACCTAACCTAACCTTTCGGCTACCTAACCTAACCTAACCTATAAAGATAGGTTAGGTTAGGTTAGGTAGGGTTGGTTAGGTTCGGTCATATATCTACGTTAATTTTAACTCCAATAAAAAAAAATTGACCTCATACATAATGAAATGGGTAGCTTTATCATTTCATAAGAAAAAAAAAATATATTAATTCAGGAAAACTTGGCTTATTAGGCAAATCGGGCCTTGCATAGTAGGCCGAGAAGTGCGTTCTGGCTACTAGGTACGACATATATATATATATATATATATATATATATATATATATATGTCGTACCTAATAGCCAGAACGCACTTCTCAGCCTACTATTCAAGGCCCGATTTGCCTAATAAGCCAAGTTTTCATGAATTAATGTTTTTTCGTCTACCTAACCTACCTAACCTAACCTAACCTAGCTTTTTTTGGCTACCTAACCTAACCTTACCTATAAATATAGGTTAGGTTAGGTTAGGTAGGGTGGTTAGGTTCGGTCATATATCTACGTTAATTTTAACTCCAATAAAAAAAATTGACCTCATACATAGAGAAAAGGGTTGCTTTATCATTTCATAAGAAAAAAATTATAGTAAATATATTAATTCAGGAAAACTTGGCTTATTAGGCAAATCGGGCCTTGAATAGTAGGCTGAGAAGTGAGTTCTGGCTACTAGGTACGACATATATATATATATATATATATATATATATATATATATATATATATATATATATATATATATATATATATATATATATATATATATATTTAGATGTATTTACTGAGTGGATTCTAGCAGTAAAGGATCTCTGCATGCTCTCCAGGTCAGCAATTTCTCCAGCTTTGAAAGGGGCTGTCATTGTGCAGCAGTACTCCACTCTAGAGAGCACAAGCGTCTTGAAAAGTATCATCATCGGTATAGCATCTCTAGTGTGAAAAGTTCTTGTTATCCAACCTGTCATTTTTCTTGCAGTTGTGACGGCTACTTTATTGTGTTCTTTAAAGGTAAGGTCTTCCGACATGAGTACACCCAGATCCTTTACTTTGTATTTTCGTTCTGTTATGATTTGCCTGAGTTTTGTACGTGGTTTCTGTTTTTATATTTTCATTTTCTCCTTAGCGCATGAGCTGGAAGTTATCACTGCTATATTACTGAAACAATTACCCCCCCCCCCACTAAGTAATTACCGTACAGCAGCAACAGTAGCCGCTTGAGGGCACGTCAACATGCCCAAGGGGTCAGGGCACGTCAACATGCCCAAGGGGTCAGGGCACGGAGGGGTCACTGGGCGAGCTGTTTACCAAACACTCATACCCAAAGATGGTGCCTCATGGACCCTTCATACTCAGTGCTTCACTACCCCACTATCCTCATACCCACCACCACACTACCAAAGCACCATACCCACCACCACACTACCAAAGCACCATACCCTCCACCACACTACCAAAGCACCATACCCTCCACCACACTACCAAAGCACCATACCCACCACCACACTACCAAAGCACCATACCCACCACCACACTACCAAAGCACCATACCCTCCACCACACTACCAAAGCACCATACCCTCCACCACACTACCAAAGCACCATACCCACCACCACACTACCAAAGCACCATACCCTCCACCACACTACCAAAGCACCATACCACCACACACTACCAAAGCACCATACCCTCCACCACACTACCAAAGCACCATACCCCCACCACACTACCAAAGCACCATCCACCACACTACAAAGCACCTCCACCACACTACCAAAGCACCATACCCTACCAAAGCACCACCACACTACCAAAGCACCATACCCTCCACCACACTACCAAAGCACCATACCCTCCACCACACTACCAAAGCACCATACCCACCACCACACTACCAAAGCACCATACCCACCACCACACTACCAAAGGCACGGGAGGCAGCCTCGCCTGCGCTGACGGTGGAGAAGACAGGTGACTGGTGATCCACTTGTGACTGGTGATCCACTTGTGACTGGTGATCCACTTGTGACTGGTGATCCACTTGTGACTGGTGATCCACTTGTGACTGGTGATCCACTTGTGGCTGGTGATCCACTTGTGACTGGTGATCCACTTGTGACTGGTGATCCAGTTGTGACAGGTGATCCACTTGTGACAGGTGATCCAGTTGTGACTGGTGATCCACTTGTGACTGGTGATCCACTTGTGACTGGTGATCCAGTTGTGACTGGTGATCCACTTGTGACTGGTGATCCACTTGTGGCTGGTGATCCAGTTGTGACAGGTGATCCATTTGTGACAGGTGATCCAGTTGTGACTGGTGATCCACTTGTGACTGGTGATCCACTTGTGGCTGGTGATCCAGTTGTGACAGGTGATCCATTTGTGACAGGTGATCCAGTTGTGACTGGTGATCCACTTGTGACTGGTGATCCACTTGTGACTGGTGATCCACTTGTGACTGGTGATCCACTTGTGACTGGTGATCCACTTGTGACTGGTGATCCACTTGTGACTGGTGATCCACTTGTGACTGGTGATCCAGTTGTGACAGGTGATCCACTTGTGACTGGTGATCCACTTGTGGCTGGTGATCCACTCCTTCCAGCCTCACAGCCGCGCATTACAAGGTGTTCCGGGTTGTGTTGGCTGACCGCTGCTTCACGCGCCCACAACCTTGACAAAATTAGTATTGGATAAGTTGTGGGCATTGTTTAGGGGAGGTTATATTTACTGAGGGCAGGAGGGTTATGGTAATTTGACTTGGAATGTTTAGTTTCAGCAGGTGGGGAGGGTCTAGAGGGGGTGTGGGGGGGCATGTTTGGGGGGATGGGGTGGTTTATGGGAGATGGTGCCATCTATGGTGATGGGGGGCTACCGTCTGTAGACCTCATGTTGTCTCTCCGTCTCATTCCGTCTCCCTCTTTCCGCCTGATCCCTCTGTCCTCCCTCTCCCACACTCTAACTCCATCAATCCCTAACCCTCCATTTTCTCTCTCTGCCCCCTCTCTCCCTCCATCCCTTTCTCCCCCTATTTCCTCCCCCTCCCTCTCTATAACCCCCTCTATCACACACATCACCCCCACCCCCCCTCCCTCCCTATAACCCCCTCTATCACAACATCACCCCCACAACCCCCTCCCCCTCCCTTCCTATAACCCCCTCCATCACAACATCACCCCCACCCCCCTCCCCCCTCCCTCCCTATAACCCCCTCCATCACAACATCACCCCCACACCCCCCTCCCCCCCTCCATCCCTATAACCCCCTCCATCACAACATCACCCCACACCCCCTACCCCCCCTCCCCTCCCTATAACCCCCTCCATCACAACATCACCCCCACACCCCCCTCTCCCCCTCCCTCCCTATAACCCCTCCATCAACACATCACCCCACACCCCCTCCCCCCTCCCTCCCTATAACCCCCTCTATCACAACATCACCCCCACACCCCTCCCCCTCCTCCCTATAACCCCCTCCATCACACACACCCCCCCCCCACAAACAGCTGACAGTAACGAGAAGGATAATATTGGCCAAACAACAACGAACAAAAACAGTCCAAACAAGGTGTGTGTTCCAATACCCGCAGCATAAATGGTGGCGAGTGCTTACACCCACAGTCGGGTGAAACGGAGCTCTGTCAGCTGGCGACTGACAGGCGCGTTTTTATGTCCAGGTGAGACAGGAGACGGGGCCCAGCCGTCCTACGGTGCCGGTAATGGCAGG